CGCGGCGTCGGGACCTGCCGGGTGGGGGAGTGCGGTGGAACTGTTAGAGCCGGGCCGGGGCCGCCAGGCCACCGCAGCCCGGTAGGAGAGGCGGGGGACGGTCGCGGTCGGCGGGGCGGGCTGCGGATGTGGGAAGGGCGGCCGCGGCGGAAGCAGCGAGGCCCCGCGGGGGCGGGGTTTCGAGGCCTGACCTTTCAGGTTCCCCGGGGAGGAACGGCGAAGCGGGAGTCCCGGGGGGAGCCCCCACTCCACCCCCAGCCCGGGACTGGGTCTCACCTGCACGGGGCCGAGCCCACAGTGCGAGTTGCTATAGGTAACTAGCTAGGGGCACCAGCTCGTCCCCGTTTCCCCGGGAATGTCCTAGGTTTAGGACCCATGCGTCCCAGGCCTCCTGCCCGCCTCAGGGACCCTGTTCTGCATCCCCTGCCTATCTTCTCCCGCAGCTCCACCCCCACTAGACCTGGGAGGCTGGGGGAGGCCTCCTGACCTTTCACACTGCCTTTTTGTAATTAGGGTGACGGCACCCTCCACAACATATTTCCATCCAGGCCCAGACATGCCCGTCCTTGTAAGGTAAAAACTTCAATGAGAGCCTTCCTCCTCCATAAAGGTAGGTAGAATACAGAACACATCTTGCTTTGTAGTTTGTCCTATAGAAGTAGTCAGATTTCAGCCCAGTTGTGTAATCATGAAGATGATCCTATGCTCATATTACAGCTTTGACTATAGAGACATTTGCTCTGGAATTTTTGCCACTCTCATGATCCCCAGAATTTAGAGGTTCAATCAGAACAGTTTAAGTTTCCTTATCAGTAGTCTATCATTAAACTAGAGAAAATCTAGATAATTAGAAAGTATGGTAGGATCCAGACAGAGATGTTCAACTTTTTCCTTTTATATAACTTAAAAAGCCTCGTGGTGGAACATCTGTCTGACCTATTCAAATGGAAGGATGAACGCTGGATACAGGAACACGATGTGAATGGAAGAGACCTGTCATTGTGAGTCTGGCTTTTAATTAGTCATATGATGTCTTCTCTAGTGTGACATGACTTTGTGGTGATGAACTTCAGTGGCTGAAATATATCTTGTCAGCCTGCAGTTAAGTTACAGAAATGGCAGGAATTGCATGAGTTGTCTTTTTGTTTGATTTTGAACATCTTTGAGTCACATTGGAAAGGATGAGTATTTTTCACGTGGCCCCAATGAGTCAATTCATAATATTGTTATTATTACTCAGATGACAGAAGGAAATTGGATATCAGATTATGCTCTTACTGTCAACGCCTATTTTTCATAATGGGAGCAGGTTCCGTATGAGGTGGAGAAATGGATTTCATTATTCTCTCTTATATTTCTTAGATATCTTCCCCAAGAAATTGATTGAAAATGGGGAAACCAGTCTTAAGTGTGACCACTCTGTGGCACTAGCAATCAGTCATTCCATTCTAGGGAAAAATTAGAGATGTATGTGGAAGATAGATAAGGTCCCCAATATGGATATACATTCTTTATTTGACTACTTGTGTTTTTTTATAGATGCAAACATTACGGCACTCTGAACAGACGCTGAAAACAGCTCTCATCTCAAAGAACCCAGTGCTTGTGTCACAGTATGAGAAATTAGATGTTGGGGAACAGCGTTTAATGAATGAAGCCTTCCAGCCAGCCACTGAACTCTTTGGACCTATTACCTTGCATTCACAATCAGATTGGATCACCACCCATCCTGAGGCTCCCCAAGACTTTGAGCAGTTTTTCAGTGATCCTTACAGAAAGACACCCTCTCCAGAGAAACGCAGTATTTATATACAGCCCATTGGTATATATTGGTAATATGCTGGTTTTGCAGTGGTGCTGTTGTTAGGGATAGTTCGGGCTGTTGGTTTGATTCAAGTGGGCAGTTTTTATGACCATTTTTGACATTCATTGCAGTGGTAGAAGTTTTATAGCCAAATTGACTTAGAACATTTTGTTTCTTTTTAATTCATATTGACATCAATGAATGGTAAAGGTATATTGAAAATTTAGAGTTAGTTTTGTTTCTAATTCCAAATTAATTTATAGACTGAGGTAAAGACTAAATATTTTAATCATCTTAAAGTCTGACTTTAAAATTTCTTCCTAATTATAGGATCTCTAGGAAACACCAGAATTATCAGTGAAGAATATGTTAAATGGCTCAAGGGGTACTGTGAAGCATTTTTCTATGGCTTGACAGTAAAACTCCTGGAACCGATTCCTGTTTCTGCAACAAGGTGTTCCTTTAGAGTCAATGATAACACACAAAACCTACAAATTCATGCAGGTTAGTTAAACAACTTTACAATTTGAATTGAGTAAAGGAAATATATTTATATAATATACATACATACATTTCTTTTTAAATAGGGCACATCCTGAATTTCCTAAAAAGGAAGAAACCTGAAGATGCCTTCTGTGTTGTGGGGATAACAATGATTGATCTCTACCCAAGAGACTCCTGGAATTTTGTCTTTGGACAGGCCTCTTTGACAGATGGTATTTCTTTTAGACATTGTTGGTAGAAACTTTTTCAACTTGAGAATGTTTGAAGACGTTAAAAGAGGGGAAGAATTCCAATCAATAATTTTCGTATTTAAAACTGTACAGTCAGCCTTCCATATCTGTGGGTTCTGTATCCATGGATTTAACCAACTGGGTCAAAAATATTTGCAAAAAAAATGGATGGTTATGTCTGTATTGAACATGCACAGACATTTTTTTCTTTGTCTTTATTCCCTAAACAACACAACTAATTAAAAAGCATTTACATTGTATTAGGCATTATAAGTAATCTAAGATGACTTAAAGTGTATGGGAAGATATGCGTAGGTTATATGCCATTTCATATCAGGGACTTAAGCATCCGAGGATTTTGGTATCTGTAGTATACTTTTTTTGTAAGTTTTTAAAATATCTCATGACATAAGAAAAGATTTAGTAAGGTAGTGGGATTGATCTGCCATGCAATAAGATAATATCACAAGTGACCTTGTTTCCTCCAAGTTTACAAATTGATATTTTTAGATTAAGAAACATTTATTACTAAAGAAAAATATCTCCTATTTGTAGGATTATTGGAAGAAAGAAATGGTCTTGCTAAAGGTATTATTGTAATGAAATTTGACCACACTTGTTTGGCCAGAGGAGGTCACCTGTGATCCATGAATAGATTTAGTTTTTTCTTAACTTTCAGAATACTGTCTTTCCCTAAATTTCAAATATCAGTCTACTCTTTCTGAGGGTGGGGCAAGGGACATTCTTTTCGAATCAAGTTGGATTGGACAAATACTATGAGTTTATTCCTTACAAAAAAAGTGTTAGTACTTGAACAACTGAAAGAGAGGCATAAATAAAAGTGATAAATGAAAATGATAATTAAACAAGTTGAGTTATAAAGCAGTCCCCTATAGAGTAAGTTCTGCATCAAACCATGTTCTCCATGTATGCAAAGGTGATAGATATAACTCTAATGTAACTCATTACGTGAAGTCAGTTACAAAGTGTTTAGTCGGATACCAACCCCATAATAAAGTGCTGTGCTTAGAAAAGGGGGTGTGTGAGGGGGAGAGGTTATTCTTTCTAAAAGCATGGTCCAAAACATAATCTTCAGTGCATTAGCGGCATTGGGCAGGGCAGCTTTTCTCACTAGCACAGCCTGAGGGAAGGCCAGCAGCCCTGACTGACATGTGAAGCAGAGATCTGTTTATTATGTTCTCAAAGAGTAAAATCATGATTGCTTGTTGTTTATTGCTTGTTGTGATTAGTTTTCATGGTCGGTTGCTTTTGGCGTACTTGATTTGGACTATTCTTTCGTGGGAAATAACTCTCCAAAACCTTCAATTTCTCAAGAAGCTGACCTCAAGTCCATTGAGTGTTATAGGACAGGGAATATTAGATAGCAGCAGCAGAAGATTCTGATAGAGAAACCTGGGGCAAAAGTCCTTTTTTTATGTTGGCAAATCTCAAGTGCATGAAACTGTGTGAACACAGATACAGCTGTGTACTTGCTGACCAGATGTTCTAGCCAGCTCCTTTTTGGTCTTTCCTTCAGGACTCTTGCTCTCATTCTGTTGTTGCTTGTTCTCTTTTCGTAGGTGTGGGGATATTCAGCTTTGCCAGGTATGGCAGTGATTTTTATAGCTCATACTATGGAGGCAAAGTGAAGAAGCTCCAGAAAAAATCTTCGAGTGACTATTCAGTTTTTGATAACTATTATATTCCTGAAATAACTAGCGTTTTGCTGCTTCGATCTTGTAAGGTGAGTTGTTTAAAAAAATCCTACAGGAGCATTTTTGATTTATGTTTTTGTCAGTTTAAAAACATTTTTTATAGCAGTTTTGGTTTTACAGAGAAAGTACAGAAAGTTCCCGTACCCTCTCCCCAGCCACATATACAGTTTCTCTTATTATGGACATGTTACATTACTGTGGTACATTTGTTACAATTATGAATCAATATTGAAATGTTATTAACTTAGTATTATATTAGGCTTCCCTTTTTTTTGTATTGTACAGTTCTATGGGTATTGCCCAATGCATAATGTCTTGTATTCATCATTATAGTATCATACAAAAAAGTTTTGCTGCCCTAGAAATTCTGTGCAGGAGCATTTTTTAAAAAAGAACTCTTATTTCCCTAACTTGTATATCATCAGCTCTTAATGTAATATTATACATTGATTTGTATCATTTGTATACTTTTGGTGGATATTGCTTAACTGAAATAATCAATAAAAACAATTTAAGTGGATACTTTAATATTGAAATTTACAGTATTGGTGCCTTTTTTTGTCTTGCTAGTTACATGCAGCCTTAAGTGTATCCATTTGCTCACTATTAGTTTAAATCCTAAATTCTGTTATGAGTAGGTGACGCTTTCAAGCTGGTGTTATCATCAAGTAAAGCTGCCTTAACAAGGCTTTTGGAGAACCTCTGTCTCTGGCTTCTTGCTGAGGATTGACCTTCTTTGGGCTCCAGGTTACCCTTACTAGACTGTAGTTCTACTGATACTTCCTGCCCACCACCCTTCTTTGGAAAGCTTCTCTCCCCATTTTCCCCTTTCTCCATAGCCAGAGACATAAGCTTTTCCTTCAGCTGGAGAAGTTCTGCTTTTGCCAGTACTATTTGTTGGGGCTTGAGAACTACACCTCTTAGAACTATGTTTTCAGTGTGTTCCATGGGGCCGCCTGCATCAGCATCACTTGAAGTGCTTATTAACATGCAGATCAAGTCCCCTTGCTCCCAGACCCAACAAATCAGGATCTCTAGGGGAGGGGCCTCAGAATCTGAATTGTAACAAGTATCCCAGTGGTTCCGAGCAAGAATTCTCAAACGGGTGATTTTGCCACTTAGGGGCATTTGGTAATGTCTGGAAGCATTTTTGATTGTCACAATTGGGGAGGGGGTTTTACTGTTGTCTAGTGGGTAGAGGCCATGGATAATGCTGTGCATCCTGTGATGCATAGGACAGCTCTCCACAACCTGGAATTATCTGTCCAACATGTTAGCAGTGCTGAGGTTGAGAAACCCTGGTCCAAGGGAAGTAAGTTTAGTAAGAAAGGCAGCAAGATATTTAGGGGAAATGAGGGATTATTAAATCTTGGAAGATCTTGGCAGAGTGAAGTATTGGTTGGTGATGATGATAAAGGAGTTGTTGATTCCTGTAAATCTGTTTCTTGGAAAAGCAAGAAAAAGAAGAGTTATGTATCTCGTTGTTGTTGATTATGGTGGTGTATAAAGCCTCAACGTGAATGTCTTGCAGACTTTAACCCATGAGATTGGACACATATTTGGACTGCGACACTGCCAGTGGCTCACCTGCCTAATGCAGGGCTCCAACCACCTGGAGGAAGCGGACCGGCGCCCTCTGAACCTTTGCCCTATCTGTTTGCGCAAGTTGCAGTGTGCTATTGGCTTCAACATTGTAGAAAGATACAAAGTAAATGGGGGCCAGGGCAGGGGGCACCGGGTAAGGAGTGGGAAGTGGTTATCTAAGTAGCAAAGTGACATTCTCTGTTAGGTCCTTCTCTAGAGCTGTAATTTATCAGAGGAAATTAGTGTGAAGATAAGCAGGAAGCTGTGGTTTAAAAAAAATGCAAAGAAATACCCTTTGTAAAAACTTCATCTTGCCTATGAGTGATTTATACTTATAGTAGAGTGAGAAACAGTGGAAGAAGTTTCTGTATTTCTCATCCATTTAGGACAAGAGAGCCCGCCTTTGCAGAACAGAATAAATATTGATAGGTGTTGCAAAGTTCATTTTTTAAAACCATAGGAATGTGTGGATGTGATTTATCTTTCCAGATATGGGACAGAGGTATAACGTACATTAGGAGAAAAGGATGATTTTCTTTAAGAAGGAAGGGAGAAAGTACCTAACCTTAGTATGTGTGCTAGTGCATGTGTGTGCGCCCACACTTGCGCACATATCAATGCACATTCACGTGGCCACTGAGTATGACTACTCATTCAGGTGGCTGCACATAAATGTGTACATACGTGTCTTCACATATATGTCTACCCATGCCTATTTGTACACTTACGTATGTATACACATAGACATCAAATTAAAAGCATAGTCTAATGCCTTGTGGAATATTAGCAAGATGAGAAAAGAAAATAATTATCCTACTACTCTAAAAAAAACAGGGTAAGATTTAGTGTCTTTCTTCCTTATTTTTACTCCTATGTGTATTTTTGACCATAATTTGTAATTATGGTTTGGGTATTTTGGCTATATGCTGTCTCACTCTGTATATCATAAGTGTTTCATATTTATAAACATTTTTATCAAATGCAACATTTTCATGGGCTAATATGTCACAGATTTAGGGAACCTGAAGCCAGTGTTTTTCTCTTATCTACAACTATTTTGCTGTGATTTGTTAAAATACAAATCTTTTCTGTTTTTTAAGGCGCTAGTGAGGTGGATTGATGATGACTCTGCTGACACACCTGGAGTGACTCCAAAAAATAGCCGTGCGGATAATGTGAACTTGCCGAAACCTGTTGAAGCTTTTAAGGAATGGAAAGAGTGGATAATAAAATGCCTTGCTGTTCTTCAGAAATGAGGACCTCCAAATAGGAGTAGTTAAAATAAATACTTGCACATTATATTTTCATTTGGGTTGAGTATTTCATTGGAATAAACTATTGGCTGATTCTCTACTGTCAAAGTAACAGAATAGAACCTTCTTTAATGCACCTGAATGGAAATGAGACTCATTTTGAATAACAAAATTCTATAAACTCTTTATCTTTTATCTTACTAGCCTAGTCTGTGGCAGTGAGCAAGTCATTTCCATTTTTCAAAAATGTTTATGTTTCACAAGAGAGCTAGGGCTACCGGTAACTAGTAAGTAAATAAGTGCTTTAAAGATAGCTGCCTATGTCCCAAGGTGCTAACTAACATGAACTCTAGGGGGTGATTTTGTTTTTAGAAGAGACGCTCCCTCTTTGTTAGGACCAGCCAAATCACAGTTGGGAACTGTAAGGGTCTCTGATCTTGATCTTCTCCATCCACCCCTCCTCCTTTTCTGTGAGTTTTCCCTGCTCTCTGGGGTGCCTTACCTAATTTTTTTCCTTGCTGGTTATCAGCTTACCCCTGAAGGAAGCAACAACTTGTGCCAGATTTTAGTAGCTTAAAACGTGACCTCTCAAGGATATTTACAAGTGAAAATAACAGTGGCACTTACACTACAGCAGCTCTTGGTGGTGGGGATTGTGTTGTAATTCCCAGCTATAAGATATACTCATTTGTGAGAGGTCTTATAAATAATCTGCAATGGCATTTATGTTTGTGAATGTTGCACTTTGTAGGTTTAGAGCAGGTTTCAGGTTTATTCCTATAATGGCTTTCTCAGTTTTTTGCCTTGTGAAGTGTTTACTTGAGTGGGGGAGAGTGATGGGGATTCCTGTCGAGTTGCCATGATGGCCTGTCAGGCTGTGGACATCAGCCCAATTGCCATGATGTTTAACAGGTTGAAAACTGTTTTTTTTTTTCTTTTTGTCCTTTATGAGACCGACCGCACTGCGCTCAGTCAGTGAGCGCTGTGAGCGCACCAGTCATCCCTATATAGGATCCGAACCCGCGGCGGGAGCGCTGCTGCGCTCCCAGCGCCGCACTCTCCCAAGTGCGTCATGGGCTCGGCCCTGAAAACTGTTAGAAGACTTAACAAACCACCTCTGCTAGATCAATGTGTCCTGGAAATATAGAAATTACAGTGCATCATGTTACTGAATGCCAGTGAACAGACAGCATTTCCCACTTTCCCATCTAACCTGGAGGGTAAGACTTACAGGTAATTTTTTTTTTTCACTTTGAAACCTAAATTCTCTCATTGTTATGATTTATGCAGTATGACTTAAAGCACGTTTTATAACCAAAACAGTGGTTTCCCTTTGATTCACTCTCCTACATGAGTAACCCCTTTAAATCATTTTAGAAAATGGCAGCTCGCTATTAAAATTAGTTGGGGGCCGGCCCGTGGCTCACTCGGGAGAGTGTGGTGCTGACAACACCAAGGCCACAGGTTAAGATCCCCTTACCGGTCATCTTTAAAAAAAAAAAAAAAAATTAGTTAGAATACTCTTGTCATTCT